GAGAGAGAGAGAGAGAGAGAGAGAGAGAGAGAGAGAAGGAAATGAAGAGATGGGAGGGAGAAATAGGGGGTGGAATTGAAAAGATTTGGCAATTGATTGGATATGGGGTATGAAGAAGAATGAAGAGTTAAAAATTGGTCCTAGCTTATGAACCTGGGTAACTGGAAAAATATTAGTACCCTCACCTCCCAAAAGGAAATGGAGATGGTATAAGGATCGGTAAGTTTCATATGAAATGAGCTCTGTTTTGGACATGTTGATCTTGAGATGCCTATTAGACATGTCGATGGAAATGTCTAGCAGTTAGTTGGAGATGTGGAATTATAGATCTCAGGATTAGGGAAAATATAAAATAGGTGGCATTGTAGATAGAGTGTTGGGCTTGGAGTCAAGAAGATCTGGGTTCACATCTGACCTCAGACACTTACTAGTCATGTGATCTTGGGGAAGTCCTTCAGTCAGTCAATCAACAAACATTTATTAATCACCTACTATGTTCTTAGTCACACTGTGCTAAGCCCAGTATGTGCTAGGCATTGTGCTAAGTGTTGGGGATAAAAAAAAAAAGGCAAAATATAGCCCCTGCCCTCAAGTAACTCACAATCTGAAAAACAAGCAAAAAAAAAGTACAATCAAGCTAGATACAGGATAAATAGGAATTAATTAACAGAGAAAAAGTGGTGCAGTGGATAGAGCACCAGTCTGGGAATCAGGAAGATCTAAGTTCAAATCTGGCCTGAGACACTTACTAGCTGTGGGACCCGGGTTAGTCACTTAACCCCATTTGCCTCATTTTCCTCATCTGTAAAATGAGCTGGAGAAGGAAATGGCAAACCTCTCAAGTATCTCTGCCAAGAAAACCTCAAATGAGGTTATGAAGAGTCAGACATGACTGAACAACAACAAAAAAGCACTAGAATTAAGAGGGGTTGGGAAAGGATTCCTGTAGAAGATGAGATTTTGTTGAGTCTTAAAGGAAACCAGGAAAGCCAATAGGCAGAGATGAGGAAGGAGAGCATATGAAGTGTTGCCACCAATAAGATAGTACACCGAACGGGAAGGCATGAAATAAATGTGAGACATGGGCCAGGCGGAGCAGTTAGGACTGACTCAGTTTATTCATCTGAGGGTACAGGTTATATAGAGAAAATCTTAGCCTAGCTACAAAAGAGTCCTCCCTGTGAGACACTCCCCAAACATCTGCTGATAAGTGACAATACCTAATTTCTGGTAATCAGAGTTCCTAGACTGGGATGTAAAACTCCAAGTCTTTTCCCTGGTGCCTAGGCGTCACTTGCATGGAGGGGGGATATGTAAATCTAAGGTTCAGAGAATAAGACAGAATGTCTCCAGAACCTCCCTTGCAGGGGGAGATTTACAGAGCCCTGCCTTGAGCCCTGTGGGTTAAGCCTGGGCAAAGGTCAAGCTTTGTCCTGAATCTTAAACCCAGATAGGACCCTTATAGCCGGCCCTCTACAATGAAGCATGGGAGACACCAAAGAAAATGCCAGGAACTGAGAGATGAGTGTCAAAGGGATGCTAGATGAGCTTAGTTAGCTAGTACAGTCGAGGACTGAGCCTGGGTCAGAAAGTTGTTGTTCAGTTGTGTTCAATTCTTTGTGACCTCACTGAGAATTTTCTTGGCAAAGAGACTGGAGTGGTTTGCCATTTCCTTCTCCAGCTCATTTTACAGATGAGGAAACTGAGGCAAATGGGGTTAAGTGACTTGCCCAAGGTCACGCAACTAGTAAGTGTCTAAGGCTACATTTGAACTCAGGAAGATGAGTCTTCCTGACTCCAGGCCCAGCGCTTGGTATTCCACTGTACCATCTAGCTGCCAGGAGTCAGGCCCAAGCTCAAAGCCAGCCTCAGACACTTACTAGCTGGGTGACCCTGGGTAAGTCATTTGCCCTCTGTCTGCTTCCATTTCCTCCACTATAAAATGGGGATAATAATAACAACTATTGCCCAAGGATCAAATGAGATATTTGTAAAGCACTTGTCCCAGCACCTGGCACACTTAACATATGCTCGTTTCCATCCTCACCAACAGAACTGTCCTCAAATATCACAGACAATTTTTAAGGAAGAAATACAAATACTTAACAATTTATGAAAAGATGCTAAAATTCACTAATAATAAAAAATACAAATCAGAACAACTATGACAACCTCACACCCACCAGCGTGACAACAATAGCAAAGAATAATAAAACCAAATGTTATCAAAGCTGTGGGGAAACACATTCGAATACATTTTTGATCGAACTATATCTAGTGCAAACATTTCAGATAGCAACATGGCAACATTCATTAAAAGTAATCAAACTAGGAGCAGCTAGGTGGTGCAGTAGATAGAGTACCGGCCCTGAAGTCAGGAGGACCTGAATTCAAATCAGCCTCAGACACATAACAATCACTAGCTGTGTGACTCTGGGCAAGTCACTTAACCCCACTTGCCTCAGAAAAAAAAGAAAAGAGTAACCAAACTAATCACACTTTTTGGTCCAATGATTCCACTGGTAGGATTCTTTTTTTTTTCAAAAAAAATCCTAAAAAGGAAAAAAGGACCTGTCTGTACAAGAATATTTATAGCTATTCTATTTGTAATGGAAAAAAAACCCAGAAATAACCTCTATGTCCAACAACTGGAGACTAGATGAATAAACCATAGTATGATAATATAGAATATTCCAGTGTCATAAAAAGTGATAAATATAGATAGATACATATAGATATACATTTCCATAGAGAGCTCTATAGCTACCTATATGTGTATCCACATAGAGATACATAAATGTTTGTATATATGTACATGAAGCTTATAAGGAAACAACCATAACAAAGGTAAGGCAAGCACTTATCTTAGGTATACAAAATGAAATGTGCAGAAATGTGTATAAAATATGTATCTGCAATGCCAAGGATGTGAGTGCCATGCCAATAGAATGTGAGGACAATTTAATATTCTTCCTTACAGCTCCAAATCAGTTAGTTATAGTGCTGCAAGGAAATGTGGAAGGACCTATGTGCAGTGGCAACAAATAACATGTATAGAACTAGAATTGTATATACATTGATTGTTTTTCTTTTTCTTTTTTTCTTTTTTTGGCTAGGCAATGGGGTTAAGTGACTTGCCCAGAGTCACACAGCTAGTGATTGTTATATACCTGAGGCTGGATTTGAACTCAGGTCCTCCTGAATCAAAGGCCGGTGCTCTACCCACTGTGCCACCTAGCTGCCCCTTGTATATACATTGAGTAGTTGATTGTTACTCTTCTTTCTCAAAGAGGACCAAAATACATCACTATGTTGGGGTCAAGGTACAGTGCGTCTGGGAAGGCTCTACCACAGGTTGGGCGCAATCAGTTCACATGAATATTTGGAGTGAGATGTCTCTAAATTTGCACATTCACGTTTCTTTTGAGCTACTGCAATTCTGCTTTGCTCATACAGCACAGTAGTTCTTTGATGTAAGTATGCCATGTAGGGTGGTCCTGGGCCAGTGTCTCCCATGTCTCACAATCCATTCCAAAGTTCTTCAAAGAGTCCTTCAGAGTGTCCTTATAATAGCTTCTTCTGACCTCCAGATGAATGCTTGCCTTGGGAAAGTTATCCATACAATAGACTTTTAGGCAAATATATGTTTGGCATTTGATCAACATGGCCAGTCCATCAGAGTTGTGCTCTCTGCAGCAGAGTTTGAATGCTTGGCAGTTTAGCTCAAGAAAGAACCTCAGTGTCTAGAACCTTATCTTACCAGGTGATCTTCAGAATCTTCCTAAGACAATTCAAACAGAAGTGATTCAGTTTCCTAGAATGGCGCTGGTAGAGTGTCCAGGTTTTACAGGCATACAGCAATGAGGTCAGAACAATGGCTCTGTAGATCACTTTGGTAGGCAGTCTAATACCTCTTCTCTCCCACACCTTCATAAAATGAAAGGGGGAAGAGGACAGGGAAGGAAGAGAAGGGGACAGAAGAGGAGGGGAAAGAAGAATGTATCAGAACTATGGACAGAAAGGAATGCAAGGGGAAAAAATTTGTTGCTTGTTTATTAATTCATTAGGTTCTAGCTTGCTAATTAAAAAAAAAGATAAAATTTGTAAAGGGATTCATTTGGGTATTTGTTAGGCAGTACCTGTAGTGTCAAAACAAAGTATGTCAATAAATTTCTTTTTTTAATTGCTAATAACAATGCAAATACCAGAGGGATTCCTCAGAAGATTAAGAGGTTATCTCCAAGCCCAGCCCTCTCCATTATCTTAAAATAGAAAAACAAAACAAAATTAACCATCAAAAAACCTGCACTAGATAGAATAAAACAATCAACAACAAAGAGCAGATGTGGATGAGGAGAGGGGTTGAAGACTTTTGGAGATGTACTTTCAATTGACCTAGGAAAGAAAAAAGAGGGGAATGTTGTCTTTTCTCTCTCTCATATTTCCTGAAGTTGGAGAGCATTTCAAGACAGGACCTTGGCAGGGGAACAGGGGGAAAGAGGAATCAAATTCCGCTAGTGAAAAGGGGCTGCTCTGAAGGCTTTGCAACATGTGCCTCCTAGGTAAGGGTATGCTTCAGGGAGCTCAAAGCAGGTTCCTTCCAGGAAGAATGAAAGCCCTCCTTCAGGGGACTTTCCTCTAAGCATATGATGAGCTTCTTAGGCTCAGTCTCACCCCACAAACAGGATATGATTAGGTCTTTAGGGGCTCCCAGTTCAAGGATAAGAAGACTGAGGTCTAAAGAGAAGATATGGGTGACCCCAGGATATGCAGGTAAAATGAGAATTTTTCCTTTTGACGGAGGTGATGTAGGTGATGAATTGAAGGCCTTGGATTCAGCACATATGCTGTAAATTTTTTTAACTGACAAAAGCCTAAGAATTTCACCAATGTAATGAGCATTTATCCTATTCAAGTTAATTCTATGTCACTCCCATGATGTACTACTGGGGGAACTTATTTTATATCTAAATTTCTCTTCTTTCTTTACCCCATACTAGTCTATCTTTCTGCGGCGGCATGCAATTCGGCATTTCTCAATAAGGTCCAGATTTTCCTCATCAGAAACCACGGGGAAAACAGTAAGTAGGCCATTCTTTGAACATAAGAAAAAGATGTTTCCTTGAAATCATTCATTGAAAGATGAAACAACAGAGACAACTTTGTTTGACAACCCTCACTAATATCAGTGATGGATAAAACAGGGAGATGTATGCTTGCCAAAGGGGAAGGAAGGGAATGGAAGGAAGGAAATAAGCATTCATGCGGCACATATACTATGCCAGGCACTGTGCTAAGAGCTTTTTACAAATATTATATCATTTGATTCTCACAACAACCCTGGGAGGTAGATGCTACAATTATCCTCATTTTACAGTTGAGTAAACTGAGGCAAACAGCATTTAAATAACTTGTCCAGGATCACTGAGCTGGATTTGAGTTCAGGTCTTCCTAACTCCAGGCCCAGCACTCCATCCACTGTGCCACCAGCTGTCTGTAGATATTTGCCACCATTGTGGAAAATATCTAGGATGATAGGGGAAAGAAAAACCATAGCTCTTTTCTATTGTAATATGAATAATATTGGAATATGTCCCCTAGAAGCATGATTTATGCTTATAACCATTTCATATACTTATACTAGGGTAACTATACCCCCTCTCCTACACAAGCACTTGTATACATAGATATACACATAATATATGCCAAATCTGAGATCCTTTCTGATTTTTTTTTTTTGCAATGTAGTAGGCAACATCAAATTATAGTACTTGAATGTTTCTTAGACAGGGATGTGAGGGTGAAGAACTGGGTCAGAATGGAGTGATGAGATTTCGGTCATCCATAAATGTTAGAAGAAATAGAACGAGAAACCAAGATTGTCTGAGTGGAACAGAAAGACAGAGGAAGGGGAAAGGGAAACGTTCTCTTCAGATACAATTTAAAGCTAATTAATTCTGAAAGAGAAGACAGATTTGCAGCTTTGTGACTGAAGTATTCTATTTATTCACTGAACCAGAGGATAGCACAAAACTATCTCACAAGCTGCCCAGCACCTCACTACCCCAAAGAAGCCTCACACTGCCATTGAAACATAAAGTGCTCTAATGGGACCCAGGCTCCAAGAGAAGGAAGGGTTTTCTTTCTCCTCCAACTACCAAAGCCAAGAGCTCATTATAAAAGGAGCTTTGAAATTTCAGCAGTGGTGAAGGGCTGAACCTTTGTGTCTTTGTCATGTCTGTGTCTAGCTAATTAACTGCTTTTCACAATGAGAAGCAACTAGAGCTGTCAAAGGTAGGAAGCTATCCAAGGCAGATAACTCAGGAATTCCTAATCCAGATCAATTTCGAGGAGATAGAATAGGGAAGGAGAAAAAAAAAATGGTATACTAGCAGGACTATTTCAAGGGTCAAGGCTGGTCCTAATAACTGCAGTGAAAACTCGGTTATGCCATCCTATGTGGGTGATGGACTTGGTGTGTCATGTAGAGTGGCTGTGGTATTCCTTATGCCAGTCTTGGAGATTAGGATAAGAGGCAGCAGAGATAGCTGAAGGAGTCAGGTAAGAAAGATCCTAGAGGAAGGGGGACCCTCAGGTTACTTTGTGTCCTATAATCCTAAGATTGTGCTTGCCAAGCACTATCTCTCTTACAAAAGAGGAAAAGATTAAAAGGGAGGCAGGCTGAAATGTGGCAGATATGGTACCATTGTGCTTAAACCCTTAGCATAATGATTAGAGTTGTATTTGCCAGCTGGCATGGTTGGACTGATTTTGCAAAGACCATCCCCCTTCCCCCAAAAAACCTTCCAGGTCATCTACAGTTTCAAGGAGATAATGGGAACATTTTCTTATTCAGACAGTAAGGGGGAAAGGAGGGAGTCAAAAGGAATTTTTCCTCTTCTCCAAAGTTTATTAGTTAGAAATGTCACCTTTAAACACAAAGAAGAAAATCCATAGAACCCTCTCAAAAATACCTATGACACCTAAGAGTACTGTGGAATCCCATATTTCAATATTTCAAGAGACTTATGATTTCGTTGATGTGGGTACTCACTCCACTGGGGCATACTGCAACCCATCATCTCATTCTGGGAGACTCTTGTCCTGCTTTGGCAGGATATTCTCCTCAGAGACCCCACGTAATTTGCGGGGGGGCTTCCTTTCAGATCTCCTGACAGTATGTAGATTCCAAAAGAACACACAAGCTTTCTTTCAATTATCTCTTGCTCTTGCTACGTGATTGGTCCTTTTCTCTGATAACATCCTGCACATCACTTTGCCTTCATAGTTTTTCATTAGTAAATATTACAGCGTATTCATACATATCATATGCCTTTCCATCGCCCTTTGGATGGCTCACAACTTTAATTCATCAAGAGACTATGATGTTCCATGATCCATAACCACACAGTTTCACTGGGAAAATATTGACATTAAAAACATGGGCCTTTGTTTTAGGGAAAACTATAGAGTCATGAAAAGCACTGCTCAATTTCCCAAAGGCAATATAGCCCGCTCTCCTCCTCCCATTCAGTTATAAACTCAGTTCACTTTCAATACAGAGTGTCTATACAAGATATATATACTAATGGACATACATATATATATATATATATACATATATATATATATATATATATATACACACACACATATATATGTACATGTGTGTGTATACACATGGGTTTTCTAGCCAACTGTCTATAGGAATTGGGACAATCACCATTCTTCATCCCCTGAGTTTTTCCAGTGTGGATAGTTAGACCAAATTCATTTGAGTGATTATGGATTTCATTTAGGAGGCTACAAAATGTTCTGGGACTTAATTCAATCATAAAATGTCCTCCCCAAATAGGACCATAGAGGATTTCACTATCTATAAGGAATTTCTTTTTCACTTGGATATCCTCTATGACTGTAGTAAATACTTCCTTTTTTTATCCTTCATGTGATAATCAGAGGGTCATCAAACAAAGTTATGTCTATTGTTCCATCTCTCCAAGAATCATTTATGATCTTGATGTGTATGGGAAACATATTGTTAGAAGAAAGCCTTTAAAGAAACATTTTCCTCCAATAAAGCATATTTTATAGTAAAAAAAAAAAGCAAACAATAAGCATTGCTAGATCATATATTTTCTATACTTTTGCCCATTGTGTGACCATAAAGCTGTGGTTTGTGGTTGAATGTCATTTGAATAGCCTGCCTATTCCCTTTTCAGATCTTCATCAGTTTTACTCCCAATATATGTATAGATAAGTCTCTTAGAGATTCAGTAGAAATGGGAAAGTAGCTATATCTGTTCATTGTCAATATTTCTTTTTGCTTACTTTTTTTAGCAATAATAATATCCATAATTTTTCCCCAATACCATTTGATATCTTCCCCTCCTAGAGATATCTTGAGAATGAATCCCTCAAAATCCTATCACCTCTAGCACAGACCTGTTCTGTGAGTACTCACTCTGGTCTAATTATATGCAAAACACCATGTAAACCTTAAAATGCTGAAATCAGTGGCAATTGGATGGCACAGAGAATAAAGCACAGGGCTTGGAGTTAGAAAGAGCTAACTATTTCCACTCACTGGTCACTGTATAAGGATTTCCCATTCAGAATAACAACAACTAAGTGTTTCTAGGCAGTCTAAAAATTGTATAATACTTAGCATGCCCAGACCCCCTCTCCCCCCACTTTATTCCCATTCTTCCCTCATCACTGATGAAGCAATAAGGGGTTGCACAAGACTCTGGGCCATTTTGCATTGTTCTTTGTAAATAAGTTGCCATGGGTAACTATTACCAAGTGGCCAATCTACTGGTAATAAGCCTCTGCATATTTAATGAGGTTGAGCCTCACTTGGGCACCTACCTTACACTAAGAACCCGCATGGCTACCCCAAGAATCTTGGCATGTCAAACTCATTTCTTTTTTTGATGGAGTTAGTAGATTTAGAGATCAGGAGACAAAACTTTAGAAATGGGATACTTAGATTTGAGCAACATATTTGATAGCCTCTCATACTATCTTTTTGTACCAGCTGGAAGAAAATAAGCTAGATAATAATACATCAAAGTTGATTCAAAATTGGTTAAATGACCAGGTCCAAAGGGTAAGTGACGTCAAGCTAGAAGAAAGGCACACAGGAATGTTCCAATGATCCGTCTTTGGTCCATGGGCAACATTTTAAATGGTAACTTGTTAAATTATCAATGTCTTGAATGGAGATAGATTTGTTATGATTAACAAATATGCATATGACACAAAATTGGGAGGAATAGCTCACACAATGGAGAACAGAGGCAAGATCCAAGATTTCAGCAGTCTTTTGAAGGCTAAAATTATCATCATAGCAGGTCAAAAATTATTGCCAGCTCTGCTTTGGGTAGAAAAAGAGCTCTAGAAGATTTCTAAATTATTTAAGTCCCCCACCACTGCTATGTAAACCTCTGGGCCAGGATCTGTTTCCTGAATACTTCAACTATTTCTTCTTTCTATCCAGGCGGTTTGTAATATACTGTGGTGACAATTTTACTTCCGTTTTTGCCTCTATTAATTTATACCCAAATGTTCTCCATCATACTTTCTTCCTCTGATTCTTGGACTTGCTCACATAAATATATCTTCTTTTTTTTATGATACCCTCCTTTCCCCCATGCATACATGTGGGCACATGTGCTCACACACACACGTGCGCGCACACACGCACACACACACACACACACACACACACACACACTTTTACCTATAAAGTTTCTTTTAACTGAGGCATACCTAACCAGAATCATATTCTAGTTATGGAATATCCTATCAGGTCTTGTGGGTAGCATTAGGACCTAGAGTTCATTTTGCTTGTTGCCTATATCTTGTGCAATTGTAAACAGATTACTTGGAGCTATAGATTTTACTACTATTTCCTTCCTTTGACTTTATCTCTTGAGAACCGTGGAGTATCTCCAATGCCATTCTTCCTACATTTGAGCTACTCTTTCATAGTTCTAGGTTGGTAGATATATCTAGGTTGTTTCCTCCTTCCCTCTTCTTTTTCAATTTAAAGTGCTTTGGATTTCATGTACAAGACCCCAGGAAAAACCTTCTTGACAGGCTTTGTAAGGTATACTCTAACCCTGACTAGGAGCTTGTCATTCCATGATGAAGAAATCCAAATCCATTCTTAGAAACCATCTCTTTAACCATCTTTTTGCTTCTCGAATCTGCTTTTATCTTCAGTAAATGGGCTTTCAATGGGCAGAAAAGAAGAAAAGACAATCTCTGCCCCTGAGTTCTTCAGTTTCTTCCCCAAAATGTTATAATCTCTGGCTGTGCTTCCAAGATCCTTTCTGGCAGTACCAACGTGAATCGCCAGAATTGGACAGTAGCCATCTGTTTTGACAAGTCTTGGGAAGTTCTCTTTGATGTATTGGATACATCCTCCAAGAAGACAACGCATCTTTCCATTATTGCTATCAGGCTGACAAATAGCTGCCTCAGTACCCCTCAGCAAAGAGTCCCCAACCACCATTAATGATAACAGCTGACATACATATATGTGGCGGTCTATGGTTTGTTTTTCGTATGTCATTTCATTTGATCTACTGTTCTTTTCTTCTTTTACCACAAGTCTTCTCTTCTAATTTGTATCTAACACCACCTGTGGAATTATTTTATAATTTCTGGGAGGAAAAAACACTGTTTCCTTCTCAGAGTGTTCAGTTCTCTCCTCTTCAGGAAGAGCCTCAAATTTGTTTTTTGTTTTTTTTAGCTCCAAAGTATACAATGGTCCTTCTTCCCTTCCTCCTTTGTGGGACATGCTTTTATTCTACAAACTCTTAAAAGTGATCAGCATGCCCCTCCACCTCTTTAAATCCTCTTCCATTTTTTTCACAATGAAGCCATTATTCCACATTTTTGGTTTATTCTTACTAACATTTTACTGACTCTGATAATCCGGAGTGTGAAAGGTCATTGCTCGATCCCTTTTACTTTTCTTCTAGGAAGGAGACAGGCCTGAACTTTGTTTTGGGTTTTTTAAATTGTTTTTACTCTAAACTTAAACACTAAATCAAATGAGCGTTTCCATGTACACATTAGAGCCGAAAAAGAGGTTTGTACATGAAACTGTGAATTTCTGTTATACACAGCTTGCTTTTCTTTTTTAAATATGTAATCTATTCAACATGTGACTTTCAAAGCTGTTCTGCTTGTCTGATTCCATTCTAGCCTTCTTCCTGTTCTCTTCTATGCATTTTTAAATGCCACAATGACCTTCTTTTCTTTTTCCTCCTTTTTTAGCAACCCTATCCATAGCCCTACTTTCACCAGCTCTACCCCTCCTTGAAAAAATTCACTTGTTAACCTTGTAACAAATATGTATAAGACATGTAACATATAAGATATGTATGTCCACATGGGTTATCTAAATGTGTAAATGTGCAATTCACAGGTGGCACAGACTGGAATCTGGCTATCCCTTTCTAAGGGAGATTACAATTTCTTCTTTGAAGGAAGCAGGAGAAGGGCCATGGCTAAGAATTTATTCCTCTCTGAGAGAGGTGTCAGACTAGACTTACAGCTGTTTCAAATATTGCTGATCCTGGAGTATGAACCTGGTTCAGAACAAAAGCCCTTTCCCTGGTCACTCTGAAGGGGAAAGGTTATGTGACCCAACTTAGCTCATTCCTTTCAAATACTGGATATACAAAAGACCATCAGAAAAGTAAAGCCATTTATCCAAGCATATAGCAAACAGAAATCAGAGAAGTTATACAGATTAAAATATACTAGAAGAGCAAATGAGCTCTTAAGAAGGGAGTGAAATGAGATCTCAACTCAAATCAAGACAGTTTCTCTGAAGCCTCTAGGCAGACAAAATGGAAATCTTCCAGTACTAAGTCTGTATCCCAAAGAGATCATAAAAAGGAGAAAAGACCCACATGTACAAAAATATTTATAGCAGCTCTTTTTGTGGTGGCAAAGAATTGGAAACTGAGGGAATGCCCATCAATTGGGGAATGGCTGAATAAGTTGCGGCATATGAATATAATGTTATATCATTATGCTATAAGAAATATGAGCAGGCAGATTTCAGAAAAGCCTGAAAAGACTTACATGAACTGATAGTGAGTGAAGTGAGCAGAACCAGGAGAACATCGTACACAGCAACGGCAACATTATGTCACAGTTAACTATGACAGACTTAGTTCTTCTCACAATTCCAAAAAACTCATAGTGGAAAATGCTAACCACATCCAGACAAAGAACTATGGAGTCTGAATGAAGATAAAAGCATACTATTTTCACTTTTGGGGGATTTTGTATTTTCTTTCTTGTGTTTTTTCCCTTTTGTTCTCATTCTTCTTTCACAACACGACTAATGTGGAAATACATTTGACTAGATTGTACATGTATATCCTGTATCAGATTGCTTGCTCGCTGTCTTGGGAGGGGGGGGAGGGATGGAGAAAAATTTGGGACTCATAATGTTGCAAAAATGAATGCTGAAAACTATCTTTACATGTAATTAGAAAAAATAAAATATTATCAAGTTGTAAAAAAAAAAAAAGACTTGAGTTCAAATCCTACCCCAGACACTAACTACCTTTATAACTCCAGGCAATTCATTCTACCTTTGTAAGTCTCAGTTTCTTCATTTGTTAAATGGTGATATTAGCATCTACCCCACAGGGTTGGGAAACTCCAATGAGTTATGTATGTATGTAATGTGTATAAAGTGTTTTCTAAACCTTAACAGGATATATAAATGTGAATTATTATTTTCATCATCATCATCATTTTTAAAATTTATTTTCCATCCTCGCAGGAACCTACTGAAGAAAAAGAATATCCCCCTGGCTGTCAAGATTCCCTTTTATCCCATCTTCAGGTCACCTCTCCAGGAAGGGCCCATTCATCTGAGAAACTGCTGGCAGCAATGGAATTGAAACGCTACTATAGCTTCTGCCAGGATGCCCCTTTGCCTAAGCCAGGACACCAAAATGAGGAAGGAGAGTTGAAAGGAGCTGGGAGGACTCTGGGAGGGCTGAACCCCACCATGGCTCCCAAGCTAGGCTTAGAGGTTCGGAAACTCAGCAGTGGCAGAATGATGACTTCCCTGAGGCTGAGTTCCCAGCAGCCCCGTAGTGTTCCACTTCGAGAAAAGAAAGCAACCCAGATGCTGGTGATCGTTTTGGGTGAGTTGCTGGGAATAGCATTTGCCAGAAGGTAGAAATCTGCATCATAAAGATACAGGCCCCGGATATTCCCTAGGATGAATAAAAACCATCCTCACCTCAGTTGTTCACTACCAAGCCAAAAAGCACTGAATCTGGCCTCAAAGGATGTGAGTGCAAGTCCTGATTCTTCCAGCATTAGCTGTATGTCTTTAACCTCTTAACTTAGCCACTTAACCTATAAATCTCAGTTTCCTTTGTAAAATGAGGATAATACTTGTATTACCTGTCTCCCAGCTATTTGATTCAAATAAAATAAGGTACACTTTGCAAATGATAAAATGTTATGTTCAAATGAAGTGATGAGAATAACTCACATGAATATCTCTCTTTAAATTTTGCAAACAATTTCATATATTTATATTGTGTTATGTTATGTTATGTTATGTTATGTTATGTTATGTTATTTATATATATCATTTGATATGCTAATGGAAACAGTATGGTATAGTATAAAGAGACCTAGCTCTTCACTTACTAGCCATGTAACATTGAGCAAGTGACTTAAGTTTCCTGGGCCTCAGTTTTCTCATTTGTAAAATGAGAAGACTGGATAAGAGGGCCTTTAAGGTCTCTTACAGTGATACATCTATGAACCCATGGTAATGATAATGCTTCAGAGAGATATTAAGAACTATTAAAGAGATACCTGGGAACCAAAAAGTTGGGGAGGGACAGAAGGAAGATGCAATGGTTTAGGTCTCCTATACTGTTTTGACACATGTTGGGGAAAAATGCAAAATGAAACGTCTAATTTGTTTACTTTCTCCATTTGAAATCTAGGGGCTTTCATTATCTGCTGGCTGCCTTTCTTCTTGACCCACATCCTCAATACTCACTGCCAGGCCTGCCATGTGCCCCCAGAGCTCTATAGTGCCACCACATGGCTGGGTTATGTGAACAGCGCCCTCAACCCTGTGATCTACACCACCTTCAATGTAGAGTTCCGCAGAGCTTTCCTCAAAATCCTGTCCTGCTAAAGGAGGAGAGAAGAGTCACCACCTTTATTGACTTCCCCTGGCCTCTCCAGGGACAATGACGATTGAAACTGTATAGGGTGGGGCAGTTAGAAGCCTCCTACATTCTAGGCTTTCACCTGCCAGAATGCTTGACATCTTTGTATTGTAATTGGTCTTTCAACTTCAGTAGTTCACATCTTCAATCCATGCTTCACAGAAATGCCCAAGTAATCTTCTTAATGTGACACTGATATATGACTCCTATACACAAATCTTCAGGCCTCTCCATTGCTTTCAAAATAAAATTTAAACTCCTTATCCTGGCATTTAAGGCTCTCCACAATTTGGCTGCAGACTGTCTTTCCAGTCTTGTCTGACATTATTCTGCTGCACAAGCTGTAAGTTTTGTCCAAATAGGACAACTTGCCATACTTGTTCTTATCTTGCTGTCCTCGGGGGCCATTTCTTTGCTCATGCCTTCCCCCTATCCCTGGGATGGACTACTCTCCTCCCCATCTATGCCTGTTAGAATATTTCCCTTCCTTCAAGACACAACTCAAACAGTATTTCCTATGTGAATCTTTGCCAGATCTCCCTTTCCTCAAATTTTCTGCAAGCACTCTGGTCTAGCTCTCTTCATTGCCCTTATCACATTATACACTGTGTTGTATTTATTGGTCTATGTGTCAGATATTCTTGTAATCTTGTAATGAGATAATATATTTGCAAAGCACTTAGCACAGTGCCTAACACATAGTAGGTCTTAATAAATACTTGTTCCCTCCCCCATTATATTATAAACTCCCCGATGCTAGGTATTCCTATCCTATTCTATTTATTTGTCTATATGTCTGATATTTTTGTAATCTCTTCGTAAATTTTAAATTCCTTGAAACTAAAGATCCCTATCTGTCCTATCTATTTGCCTAAATGTTTGATATTCCCCTCCCATGAGACTGTAATTCCTCCCACTCCCCATTAGATTATAAAATCCCAGAAGCTAGGAATTATGTTGTTGCCTTTCATTCCTGAATCCTCAGAGCTTGGCACATAGTAAGTGTTTAATAAATGTTTGTCAGATTAAAGATTTTGGATCTCTTAAGATGGCAGGAGGCAGCAAATCACATAAATTGCTCCATAAAAGATGGACTGCCCCATGTTTCCAGGTGAAATCTAAGAACACTCAAGCTATTTTTTTTAATGACTAGAGAGGACATGAGGGTGACAAACAATAATTCTCAAAGAAAAGGCTAATGCCAAATGCTAAACAAAAAGTTATGTCAGGCATAATTGGACAGAGAGTAGACAGACAGCATCACTCACATTGAACCATCACTCAGCCAGGTCAATGTTATGCAGTATATTCAGCACTAACTCCATGGAGGAAATTTCTTCACTCATCACTCAGTAATAAAAATAGGGAAGCCCTTCCGTCCAAGAGCATAGGATCCCTATAGGAGAGTGACAACATGACTAATGGTTACTTTATGGACATAGACACTCAAGAATCACTATGTATGAGTAATAAAACCATAGATTTAGTCTTGCAAGGAACCCTAGACACTATGTAGTCCACCTTTCTCATTATAGTTAAATGTGTTGTCCAAGGTCACAGAAGTAGTAAGCAACAGAGGCAAAATTTGAACCCAGGTTCTCTGACTCCAAAGCCAGTGGGTTTTATATTCTACCACAAGAGAACTCATGTTTCTCCAAGGAAGCAAGAGCTTCCTTGGGATTCAACTCTAAGTCTATGACCTGGATAACAACAGTATTATAGCTGAGAGCTGCTGATGTTCAACCCTGCCAGCCCTCCTGAGGGAGTAAAGCAGTTTGGGAGTTGCCTTTTGGTAGCTTGCTTCCTTGACCCCCAGGACAGATAAGTGTCACTAAGTACCAGCCAGATGAATGTTCCACAACGTACTCTGCACTGACACCATAGCAGGAATTTGTCTCCTTCATCACTTTGGGTAGCTATTAGCCTCAATAACCTTTAAATGTCAACTCAGCTCCAATGCCCAAGTTTTTCCCTAGCCCAAGCCTACATATGCAGTTCTCTAAGTATAAAGATGGAGCAGCTAGGTGGCACAGTGGGTAGAGTGTCCGACCTGGAATCAGGAAGACTCATCTCCCTGAGTGCAAATCTGGCCTCAGACACTTAGTAGCGGTATGACTCTGGGCAAGTCACTTAACCTTGTTTGCTTCAGTTTCCTCATCTATAAAATGAGCTGGAGAAGGAAATGGCAAACCACTCCAGCATCTTTGCCAAGAAAACTCCAAGTGGGGTCACCAAGAGTCAGACACAACTAAAAAGTCTGAACAACAACAATAAAGTATAAAGATGAAACCAAGGCAGCGATAGCCCATAGTTGGCTCGTATAACTTTATGAAATCCGTAAGTAATCATGGCCTATCCATGGCACATCAAAAGCAAGTGATCTCATGACCTCATATGTGGAGTATTATGTGCCATCCTCAGGAGAGAGAAACTAGCTACCCAGGTGACTTAGTAGGCCTCCAGAATCCCCATGTTCTGCTGACACTATAACCAGAGGGTCTCCTTGTCTGGGTCAAGGTGAACTATCCCTGAGCTATCTCTCCACCTAATTCTTATAGAATCCCTGAAGGGGGCATGGCTTTCACTTCTCCAGGTTCCCCAGAGGAATGCCAACTATCAGGAGGGAGAGGAACAGCAGTGTGCTGGTAAATGTTTAACAACTGACTCTCAAAAAATGCATGCAGAATATTCTTTTAAGTCTAATCTGCATTATTAATATTTTATCAATACTTTTTAAAGTCTAAACAATCAACAAAATAACAAATCAATGCTTGATTTGTAGCGTTTGCTGATTTCCAAGGTGTAAATGCTCCCACTGAAAATTTAACAATCAGCTCAAGCTGGCATGAGTAAGTTCCATCACATCCCTAAAGAGAATGGATTTGGAGGCTTGCCCAAAGTTGCCCATGGACTCTATTTTGCCATTGAGAAGCAGCTTGATATAGATTACACAGTTAGATAGATGGATAGATAAATATGTGAGTGAATGTGTGTGTGTGTGTGTGTGTGTGTGTGTGTGAGAGAGAGAGAGAGAGAGAGAGAGAGAGAGAGAGCAAAGAATGATTATACATCAGGTATTGTGTTAAGTGTTAGGAATACAAATACAAACAAAAAATACAGCACCTTCCCTCAAGGAGCTTACATTGTAAAGGAGGAGACAACACATAAAGGATATCTGCAAAGTGAGGTGGAGTGGGGTGGAAAGGGATGGGAGTAAGGCTGCTGGTGAGGAGGTGGCAAAGCGTGAAGGGTCAGGAGTGGAGCTGGGAGAGAAGAGGATGTAGAGGCCTGAGCACTTGAGGAAATGATGATTCCAAACAGACATTCACCAATATGAGGAGAGGGATCAGGAACAGGGTGAGAAGGATAAGAAAAGAGTGCCGCACTTGACCAGGTTAACATGGCTTCAAATCCCACCTCTGCTATTTCCTGCTTGTGTGCCCCTAGGCAAGTCATTTGATGTTTTTAGTGCCCAAGGCAACCCTCTAAAAATAGAAGTTGAACAAGTGTTTATATACATTGCTTGAAGGAATTTTCTTACTGGGAGTTCCCCACATCAATGAAATGACAGGTCAAGACCCTTCCCTCCTCAAAAAATACCAGCAGTATCTAGCTCACTGGGCTGTGAGACTCAAATGAGAAAATACATGTGAAGTGCTCTGAAAACTTTAAAAGGCCACATCAGTGTCAGTTGTTAGTTTATGTCAGCTGATACTGATGTGGCCTTTTAAGTTTTCTAAGCTTTCTAAGGCAGCTGACTTCAGTGACAGCCTTTCTTACTTCTTGAGGCCTTTTTTGGATTATTCAAGGTAGCTTCCAAAGGCAGAAGAGGCCATTTTCTCATGGATCTCCATTCTCTCCAAGAATATGGTACCCTGCATAGTTGTCTCTTCACAAGTATCTTATTCTTCATTGAGTCACTGTTTCCATTCTCCTCTCTGGGGCCTATTCCAGCCCAGCCTCCCTTGCACCTTGTACTCTAGAATTTACCCAAAATAGGTTTCTTAAAGAGCTACACAGTTTTCCCCCAGGCAAAGCACCTTGTTTTCCACCTTGACAGTGGTCCCCAAGACCTGATAACTTTCATTATTGCTTTAGAGTTGTCATATAAAAGGTCTTTGTGTCATTTAAAAACTGGTAATTCTTGAATTTTAATAAGTTGGAGCATGTTAGAATCAATCTATAGCCTTTGAATAACATTTTAAGGCTATTTTCTCCTTGCCATTTATCTTCTTGCCTACTGTAGTCATTTTTTGTCTACAACAGTATTTGAAATAAAAATGCATTGTGTCTAATTGTGTAATGCAATTGTGTCAGATTTTAATAAATTTGCTCTCAAATGGCATCTGTAAATTCCTTCTATCAGGCCTTTAGGCCTTCAACTGAGCTTAACAAGCATTTATTAAGCACCAACTATGGGCAATGTACTATGTTAGGCCCTGGGGTCAAAAAGATGAAAAACAATGCCATCTCTTCTTTCAAGCAGCTATGATAGCATTTAACACGAACACAAACAAATATCACCAGTGCTATGTAACGGGGCAAAGGAAATCTTCAAAGCGCTCTAAGAAAATTTGAGAAAAGACACATGAGGGGAAGGAGGAAAGGATAGAGGAAAGTTAAACAGAAGTGATGTCACTTAGAACTGTGACTAGGAATGTATTCATGTGTTAAAAAGAATCTGAGGTGGAGGGGTTCAGCACCAAGGACAGTTCAGCTTCAGCTTTCTCCCAGTTGTACTGGTAAAAAAGGTAGCCTTTCCCCAGAGACTCTACACATTTGTTGGGCAGAAGGTGTGCCCTGGGAAAGAGTTATCATTGCAATGGAACCTTGGGATTGCTAGCCCCAAGGTGGTGCCCCTCAGGGTTACAGCATGTCACAGGCTGCGGAAGATGGCAAAGCTAGATATAGTGAAGGCAAATGACACGAGGATGAAGTGCCCTGCTAAGTGCCCTGGGCTAAAAACGTCATTCATTCCATGATAGTTATGACTCTTGGAGGACTGGATTTGGATCTTTAATGGAAAGGATCTCAAATAGTTGCGAATATGGATTAAGTGTATGTCAGGCATGAGAAACATTCTATGGAATGCATGAGGATGTAACAAGATAGGGTAAGACTGGGGAACAGGTAGTCTTGTCTAGTTTGACAGGAATATAGAATATGTAAATAGTAGTGATGTAAAATAAGCTGGAAAAGTAGGTTGGAATCATATCATAAGAGTCTTTAAACACTAAGCTAAATGATTTATTTTATTCTGTTGTCAAAAGAGAGTATTTTCATTGGATTTTGAGCAGGGATGGGCCATGATCATATCTGTATATTAGGAAGATTATTCTGAATGTTGTTTAGGATGAACCAGAGAACAGAAAGCCTAGAGATTGTGAGACCAGTTAGGAGTCCATTATGGTAGTTTAATGGAGAGCTGATAAGGGTATAAACCAAGGTGATGATAGTGAGAGTAGAGATGAGGGAATGGATTTAGAGAAATTATAGAGGTAGAAGGGCTAGGACCTGACAACTAATTGTATGTTGATGATGAAAGAGAGAGAAATCAAGTATAACTCTAATATGAGTCTGAGGGACTAGAAGCACAACGGTGTCATGAACAGATATGAGGAAATCTGAAAAAGAAGGAGGTTTATGGGGGGAGGGGAAGAGCATGAGTCCAGAATCACAAAATATGAATTTGAAAATTGGAAAGGCCTTAGTAGTCACCTATTCTAGTCCAACTCATACCCAAAAGGAACCTTCACTATAACACATTTGATGTGGGCATCCAGCCTCTGCCTGAAGACATC